GACACGTGGCGTGTCGCTATGGCAATGAAAAAGGATCTAGTGTTGCAAAATACTAATGAGAAATTTAAGCTTTGAAAAAATAAATTGATTATCACAAAGTAATTACTACTAATTGATAACCATGTATCTAAACTTATTATAACAAAAAGTGGCTCGAAATTTTAAAAAAGTGCAATTTAAATTGTAATCTTAAATAGGGGAATTTGTTGATCAAAATTTAGATTTACAGTAATTTGACAGTTGACACTAATCGGTGGTTTGGTTTATGTTGTTGACAACTATTATGTTATTACTGTTTGTTAGTAGTTCTTGTTAATTAAAAAAACCGTTTAAACTTGACGTTATTCCCAACCACACCCTGAATCATAATCACAAGATTCTCTCTGATCTGGAGCCGTATATAAAAATGTTTCCACTGGTAAGTATTTCAGACTTCTTGGGCTTGTGTCATTCTGCCGCTTTAAAAACGCTGTTAATTTATAAAATTTCGAATGATTTATGTTATGTTTGATGCCAAGAGTACTTTTCAGAACTGAATATATTGTCCACAGTGTGGATGCTTTCTTAATTTCCGACTTAATTTGGAAATAAACCAAGAGCGTCGTTTCAGAAAATTCGCGTATTTTATTTTCTTTGCACCACTTGATGCATTTTTGATATTCGGCTTCATATGGGTTTGCGGATTTTGCAGGCAACAAATTTGCAGTTGCTTTATCTGCAGTTTTCTGAATACGTACACGAATTTCCATTTCAACTTTGAAATTCAAAATCTAGCCCGGGCAAATTGACAGATTAGTATTTGACGTATTTGGTGATAAATTCAATACCAACATAATTTCGGTTCAGTAATATTTATTCTTTTAGCGATTGAAAAATGTTATTTTTTCAAGAAGGCAGCGCAAAAAATATTGTATGATACTCGTGTGAAAACTCCATTGCATTACTCACTTACATACAGCGCTCGACTGCGTCTCGCGCCGTATTTCCGTTCGTAATGCAATGGACCGTTTTCAACACTTGTACCATAATAATAATTTTTGAGACAATAGAAAACTTATTTCTGGACAGAGGGAATATTATTGTTTATTATGAAACAAGCAACCTTTACTTGAAGTCGAATAAAAATTTTACAATTTCTTTCTTAAGCAGCAACATTAAATGCAAATTTATAGAATGTCGATGTATAAAAAATTATTCAAATAAATCTTAACTGAAAAAAATCTCTGAAGTGAATATAGCTTGAGCCTTAATAATGTTTTAACGGCGTAAAAAAGTTCTCTGTGAATAACCGTAGATTTTGAGAACAAAAACGATAGCAAAATATTTGTTGATTTTAAATTTGTCAATAAATAGTATATTTATTGTTAAGTGCACGATTTATAATTCTGAATTGCATATCCATTATGAAAAATGAGAAATTGTGCATACAAAGAAAAATACGATAACCAAGACAAACAAATTTCAGCGCAGAACTACATAGTAAAAAATACGTCCCACATTCAATCGTCTGTGGTCAGTAAATCCACACGAAATGAGCCTGAGTGAATAAAAAATGAAATAAGTTGCACAAATATGAGAATGTTGAAAAGTTTAAAGACTTAAAAAAAACACCTTGTTATTGTAAAATATTTTGTCTTTTTAAAACCATGCTTAAGCTAACACTTTTATTAGCTCTTTGTGCTTGGTTTGATCAATTGTAGCGCAAAGCACATGAAAATCTTAAATAATTTTATGAATACATTGAAGGATGAATTTTAATATGCCATATATAAAACACCCAAAATCGACTTACTATTAGTATTTTTAAGCGTTGGATATAAATCAGATTTTATGTCACGCCCGTGACTGTGTTTTAATAAAAATTTATAGGGATAGTTTAAACCAATTCACCCGCAAATTAAATATTGGTACACAAAATAAAAAACAGATTATCTAGCTATTGCGTTCATCAAATTTCTCGAATGAAATAGCAGATGCTCTATAAAAATGCAACGAGTGACAAGTCCGAACGTACAAAAGTTAAAATTAAATGAAATTAACATTGATTCCAAACTGTTCTTGATGGTGAATGTAATGAAATTAAAAATATATATATGCAGGGTGTTACTGAATGCACGTATAAAAAAATTAGGAGTGTTCTGTGAACTCTTAAGGATTGAAACAAACCTTGGTTTTCTAATCAAAATTATACAAAGGAAAATTGACCTCTATCATCCATTCAGGATGTTTTTAGACAGAGGTAGGCCATGTCAATCTAGTAATTTGGTTGCAATCAATTTCGTAGATGTAGGGATCTTCACATATACGGAATTCGCATTCTTAGCAGTTACCACAAAATAACAAAAATAACTGAATAATGTCTACACCGCTTCTGCACGCTTCTTGTACTTCAGGAGTGTTCATCTTGGTTCCAATTGATGGTACTCAAAATTTCAAATACATGGATCAAGAAACAAAAGGCTAAATATTTGTTTTTACAACTGCGTTCTTCTTGTGATGTAATTTTATTTTATTATGCCAGTTTTACTATAATTTTTAATATTCAAGGTATGTAAGGCACACACGTGACACTATTTTAAATGATGCAGTGTAAAATTACATGGGTTATTCCAAGTAATTTATGACCAAAAACTGTTACCTATTCTTCGTTAGTTTGTGTATTGGAGGAACAGCAAAAATGGTTTTGATATTCGCAGAAATAGTAAAATTTTTCATGAAAACATTATACTAAATTTTCTACGAATCACACCCGTGACGTCATATATTGTTTTCTCAGTTTCTCACCCATTACTAATGGTATTTGTTTTAAAATATCTCTGATTTAAAAGAAAAAATGTCCTCATTTTGTCACACCCGTGACATATGGATTTACTGTGGTACTACTTAGTTATAAAATTCTACTAATGTAATCAAACATTTAAAGAGATTACAAGCTGTAGACAAATAAAATATTCATGGAAAAGTTGTATTTGGGAGTGAAATGCAGCAACTTGATTTTGACGTCATTAATAATAATAATAATAAAAAAAAAACTTCCCAATTATCAGCTTGTGGTACGAAAACACGTAAAAGAGACGTAAACTACTTTGTTGCTACTCTTTTTAAAAAATATCAAAACGTATATTTTTTGACGATTTAATTAATTATGAAATCTACTTATTATCAAACACCTGCTATGTCGTATGAGGCATATTATAATTTAAAACATTTGTTAGAGAAAACGTAGGTACATATCTAGTTGTTAAAAACATTTACATTTGACCGGTAAACTGTTAACAGTTATTGACGTCGTTATAAAATAAATACAACTTGCATACAAGTAACATAATTTCTTAGTAAACAAGATTGCTATTTTCTTCCTTGAAAACATCTTTACTGTAATCGGATTTACAAAGTGTTTACTTCTCTTGAAAGTAACATCGAAATAAACACAGACTAGGTAATAACGACAGTCTTCCAAAAGTACATTATAACGAGATTTTTATCTAATCAATGTCTAGACGATAAAATTAAATAATCATTTAAATAAAATAAAAACTAACTTTAGCCGCCACTTCAGCAAATATTGAAATTTTGAAAGAATTTCTTTAACACTAATTACACAGACCTGCACAATTTCGCTGTTACAAACCTGTTTATGTTTTAATAAATGTTTTGCATATTTATTGTTGTCCTAATTACTTCATTTTTTTGCGACCACGGAAGGTTTTTTGGAAAAAATTAGATATTTATTTTATACATCCTCTTTTTATATATAAAAAACACTTTTGTTCACTTATTAAAAATCTTTGTGAAATATGTAATTTTTTTTCTCCTGAACTTTCTCATCATTACAACTTCAATTTGACATTACTTCACTTCAAAAATATTATTGTATTTTAAATTGTTGAAAGCTTAACATCGTTTTTTTTTTTGCAACGTGATAAACATACATGAACTTTTGTGTTGTTTTTTTTTTTTTAAATCTACGTGATGATTATTTTTTAACTATTTTATGGTGATTATCATCCGAAAATCTATTGGATTCCTCTATTTATTTTAATAAGACAGGTTTTTCATCGCAGGTCTGTGTTATTGTTATTACTATAGATTCAAATTAGTTACTCGCAAAACGTAAAAGTAGCGTTGTTGTGGTAAAAACTCGCACTCTTTTTCATCACATAAACAATGTAACAAAGATGACTCGGCCATTGATTTTCTTCAGTCGCCGTCAGAGTTTTTTTTTTAATAATTTATGTTTTAAGTGTTCGCCACCTCTTCAGTTGTTACTTAATGCATTGCATGCGATGTTACTCCACAATCAAAAAGCCACCAACACCGCCATTTCTTCTAAAATACAGTTGGCAACGTTGTCAGTGTCAGTTTTAGTGATTTATTCTAACATGAAATAATTTGAGTCTATGTTTCATTTTATTTTCATTCATAGCTTAAATAAAATTAAACTTCAAATGACAATCGATGACAAGAAGCTCTCAAACTTTGCAATGCCAATTTTGGAATAATTCAAGATGATGGATTTTTGATTTTGGAATGTATTAGGGATATTTTTTCAAGGTTTCTTCTAATGAAGGAAACTTGTCAACATCGTCTCAGCTGTAACTGTCACAAGATTGTACTGCTTGCCATACTTCAGGGTTGCAATTGACATTCTCTTGTTCACCGTATTTAATTGTGAAAGGCGCACACACCCTTGTCAAATACCACAACAGCAATAAAAAACACGATCAAAGACAACCACGGATTTTTGCAAGTTTGTCTTTGATCGTTGCATCTTCAACTTTCAAATTGACAGTAACGACAAGACGAAAATTCTATCGAAGACAAATCCTTTTTGAACGTGTTTTTTTATTGCTCTTTCGATATAATCATCCAACAATGTCTCCATTGTTTTCAAACTTTATTGCGTACGAATTTCAAGATTAGTGTACTTCCCCTGTGACAGTTTTAGATAACATATACAACGGTGATTTACAAATGATAAAAAAAAAGTTTGAACTTACCACTTAACGTGACATCTTGAGCGGGTTGAGCTGGCGGATTCGTCGGAGCAGTCGCACTCTCATTAATTTCGACATTAGGCACGTTTGATTCAGGTTTACTGTCTTTTTTTTGATTTTTTTTATCATCACGATGAGTCACAACCTCTTTATTGTCTTTATTTGCCACTGTTACCGTCACTGGCGCTGCAATATTCGCGGTAGGTATTAAAGTTTCTTTCGATTTATTATCGCTTTTAAGATTGGAAGATTCCTTATCACTAACTTTTTCCCTGATTGGGGTATCTTTGACCGAGTCCTTATGTTCGCGCGCTTGCTGTTCCTTTTTACGACCTTTTGCAGGACTTTCACGGTCCTTCATTTGTTTATTCGGTAAAGTAACTTCGACAGCGTCACAATTCGCGGACACTATAGGTGTCTCTTTGGCAGTATTTGATGAACTCAGTACAAATTCTTTGGCCTGGGCCTAAGCACACAAAAAAATTAGTTAACGGAAGGATTTTATTAATTATTATGTATCAGTTACCTTTAGGTTACTCGATTGCACTAGGTGATCAAGTTTCGACGTTTGCCCCGTGGCTTGAGAACTTGGATGATAAAGCGCTTCGTGATCTAAAGAACTGCTATGAATTTCTTGATCTTCTAAACTCGTTTCGTTATTCGCTGCTTGCAAAACTTGCTTCGCGAAGGTAATCTGAATCTCTTTATTAGCGTTATTTACGGGTTGAGGCGTCTGCCTCGCAGATGATTCGCCAGAAGGAGGATGCGAATTGTTCTGCTCGTAAACTTCATCCAATCTATCAACACCTAAAAATTACATGGATCAGTTTATTAGCGATTCCGTAGGGGCATTTACCGTACCGGTGTCCGGGTCTATTACCGGGATGGCTTTCGCTCTACGTTTATTCTGTTGCCTAGGGAAGGGAGGCTGTTGCTGTGTCATCTGCATATTCGGAAGAGGTTGGTTTGCATTGGGTGGCACACTGGCCGATTGCGATGGATGACCCTGCCTCATTGAATAAAACGGAACTGAAACTCTCCTCAATAATACAAGTTGCTTAAAATGGGTCCAAAGCGAAAACTCACAAGGAACTGCCTGTGTTTGATTCGGATTTGGTGGGAACGAAAACTGAGATGGTATAGATGGTCCTTGATAAAGAACAGGAGCGGCAGGTTGCACAAAAGTCTGCGCCCTCTGTCCATTATAATATTGCATGGTATTCGCCGCTATATACATTTGTGTTGGAACAGGAGGCATTTGCATGTACTGAGCCTGCTGATATATTTGCTGTTGACCCTGAAAAAAAAATTAGTAAATTTCGTGGATATAAAATCTAACGTTCGACTTACTCTGTGTTGACTGGGCATTCTGGTAGCTTGACTAGGTGGTCCTGATCTATAGTAAGGTCCTTGAGTTCCACGCACTTGTTGCTGTGGAGCTACGTACTGAAACGAATACGATACTTAATTTGAAGCTCGAAAATTTTATGATCTTAGTGATAACTTATCTTAACGATAACTTATTAACTATGTACAAATGTTGTTTATCGAATCCGACAAATCACCGCGTTTTGTTATTTCCGGCATAATGACCTAACTTTAAAACAGTAGCACAAATTTCATATCCAAAAGTATACAAAATGATATAAGCCTGTGTTCACAAAAAATCTGATAATTATGTGGAGCAATCTTTAAGCTGTTGAGGAATGCACTTAATCCAATAATAATCACTATGAATCATGAGCATTATGTAGAAAACAATTATTCCAAAAACATAATGTTATAGTGCATTCAGGTATCTAGTTCTTAAAAAGAACGACTGTAAATCTAATAAATAATCTGTGTTAATTCGCTATTGATAAAAAAATTAAAAGTGAGTATTATTAGAAATTCTATAGCATGTTAAGGTTTACGCAAGCTTTCCTTTTATTAGTAAAAATTGCCACAAGAACTAAAAAGTTAACGCTTTTGTAAGAGAACATCAAAATCAATGTATCACTACATTCTTAGGAGCTCAAGTCGTAAACAATGCTGACCCACGGCTTTCCGTACATACCGATGTAACTATGACGGTGAAATTAAGTTTTATTTTGTTCTTGCTCTTCTGCATCTGAGCAAAAACCTAGATGAAATGTGTTGGTATTGGATGTTTCCATAGAGTATTGTTTGGAGCTGACAATATATATAAATTCCCAACTCAGTAAGTATGCAGTAAACATTCCATATTTTGAATCCCTTGCCATAGGTCCGCGTCAAAATGTGGTAAGGCAAGCGTTAAAATGAAACTAAACGTTATCAGCAAGTTTTGACACAAATGACCCAACACAACCTACCCTGTCGGAACGCTCGATTACTGAGCGATGTGTCTATAAGGAATTCACGTTCGGTAGATGTAACTAGATTTGGTAACTTTTTTTTTTAAGCTGTGTAACTGCGGACATAATTGTTCTAGTGTATAATGTATAACTGGAATGTCAGAAAGTAGGTATCAAAAATGTGACATGTAAGTAAGTAAATGGCAAATAGCGAAAATGTGATGGTTTTGTGGTGATCTGCTGAATCTACTTTTGAATCCAGGAGAAAATTGCATCCCTCTAAAAGCCCAAAGGGCAACCCGCATGTAAAATTGTGAATCTTTTCCCTTCACTAGTTATTTTAGGAGGACAAGCTTTGATGTCATCATCATGGATCCCCAATTTTACCACCATGGATTCGTTTTGGTATATCCATGTCTCATCCAAGAAAATGAAAAGTAAATCTTCACCACTATCACGCAATTAGAGATACCGCTTTAGAAATTTGATTCTGGTACCTATTTAATGTGAAAACCTTCGCCTTCGGAAACCTAAATTTATACGTGTACGTATTACGTACAATTATTCTCCGAGCCGAGTATTTTCCCTTTTACAAAACAATAACGATTATATAAAACTAAAAAACCAATTGTAGAGCGGACCCAACAAAGCATGTAGGTATATAAATCTGGGCAGTCGTCTTTCTGATTCTGAGTATAGTATTAACGGCACCGACGCCATTGTATCGGTATTATTTTAAAATTCGAAAAACACTCGAGAACACTAGCGAACTTTACGGAAAATATTTCTGCCACCAGTTTAACTGTTTCCGTTTTACCAAAGCATTGTCTATTTTTCCCAGTAATTTTTTCAAAACCACGAAATATTTCTTGTTTCTTTCCCTTTAAAATGCGCTTTCTCGTGACTACTTTTGTGGAAATTGTTTCCACGCTGTATTTAAGGATTTCCTTCAAACGAAGCGCGTTGAAATTAGAAAAACTTCGTTTTTTTCCAGACAATTCTGATTTGACATTTGAATTAGAAAATTAGACAGTTGATACCAATCTTTAATTTCTAGTGATCTTAAGATTCCAACTTAACCACAGAAAAAATTCTGTCAGCTACTTCTACCGAACGTGAATGCTTATTACATGAGGTTCAAAGAGTTGCAGGGGCCAAATTTTTTTGGTTGGCGAATGATTTTACAGCAGAATATCGTACAAGTATTTAAAAAAAAAAGTTGGTTAAACATTTCTATCGATTCACGTATCGCTAAAACCTTGATTCAATTAGATGGTATGACTAAGTACCCCGTCATGTTAAAAGAAAGTACATATTTAGTTAAAGCTGTAACTTAGGATTTTTGTACTCACGTCAAGTTAAGTTGCTCGTTCTGTTAAACTCGAAACATTATTGGCAAAGTATATTTGAAAAATAATGTTATTATTCGATATTACTTAGCATATTCCATTCTTCAAACATCATTTCCCCGTAAAAATGTGTGAGTTGTAATAACTAGTGTTTTATACTTACTAACTTGTTCTTAGTTTGTATTTTTCCAGCGAAGGGTTTATTCAAGTTTAAGAACTAGTGCTATGTTTATTTGTATAGATAAAGCTAAGTAACTCATTGGGAGAAACTGAACTACACTTTTTTTGTGGTTACTACACCTATAAGTTATTATTATACTGCATAATCAAGGTTCTAAACAAGTGACGTGGTACGTTGCAAATTGATTCAAACATTGTTAATATTTGCAGAGTATGAGGAACTAAAGATAAAAAAAAAAGATAAAATGACAAGGGATTACTCGAAGGTTCATTGTTTCAGTGATCACAGTTAATTGAAACTAATATACTGTTACTTTACAATATGCAAGTTTGAAAATTTATAACTTCTGTTCATACGCTCTTTGAATACACATTGTGTCAATCTACAGAGTCTTTTGCTCCCAATACTTACAACGGGGTTAATAATTCGCTAGTGTTATGTAAAGTAAGCCAAAAACCTTGCGTCGCCAAAAATGTGATCGCCGTTTTTGAATTTAAAAAGCAACTCAGTGCGCATGTGCAGTTAAACGTTATATAGAACTAACCAATTGTAAACATTTTTTTCTCGATGCTTATACATTATAGCTTTAATTACGAAGAATTAAAACTGAACGCAGTTACCGTAACTAATTCTGAATAATTATATTTGTACTAAAATCTAATGGTAAAAAACAAGAACCGAACTTTATGTAATAATTTAGTCATAAATTTGAATCTCAATGCCAAGAGTCCACTGCATGATTCGACTTGTTTAAACGCTTGTAGGGTTTCGGATAACTTTCCATTATTTGGAACAATGTATTTAAAGAACTCTGAACTATTGTCTAAATGGTCACAGAACTGCACTTTGAAAAATTGTACAAATATTTCAATGCAATGCAATTTCGAATAATAATGTTCTCTAGATTAATACCTTATGTTTAGCAGTTCCTCAAAATGACAATTCTATCCCCCAAAAAATAGTAACCAACCTGACTCATAACTTTAGTTGGACCACAACACCTCACTAAATTGAATACATCGATCACTAATCACAAAATGAGTTATTATGCCCTTTGAGCCTACTGCTAAACAAATACACAGTCGCATGCGCAGATCAGTGCCTTTAGTTGAACCAATAGCGTTTAAGACACCCCTACCCCCTCAAGTATCCAAAGTCTTTATTTCGACTTATACAAGCAATACTTCAACAGTCCAAGTATCCCCATTTTGATAACAATAAAATTTAAATTTGCACCCAAATGAAGTTTGTTGTTTCAGATCACAAACGTTTGCTTTATTTTTTTAAGTAATAAAGCTATTTGATTGGAAACCTTTAACAAACTTACTTATATAGTCAATTTTCAGGAAAGGAAAGTTAATGTATGACTAATTCGAGGTCTCCCACACACTTATCGTTAAAGAAATATTATCAATAAACATTTTTTTAACGTATATCGTATCGGTGCTGATTTGAGTCCTTATTTAGCACCTTGTGTGCTTAATCAAATTAATTACAGCATTTGTAACTGTATTTTAGACACAGAAATAAGCAAAACTTTAGTTGTTTATTTGAAATTAATAAAATATTCCGATTAGTTGTTAACGACAATTTCCTTACTTAAAAAACTATTAAAAATTGGGACAGTCAGTGGTTCTATAATGGTGTATGTATAGTCGCCTCACCACTTTAAGACTTGGACTAAAATTATAAATCATAACAAAGAAACCCGTACTTTACCACAGTCAGTAGCTTAGGCTAAATACCTCCCTCTGATAACGAATATTTATATACATACTATTCCTCAAATGCCAGTAGAGTACAACCCCGTTGCAGAGTCTCTTTACTTAAATTAAATTTGATAGTAATAATACTGTTCATCAATGATCAAAGATATATTATACAAATAAAGCAGGTATGAAAGGACGGGGTGCAATAACGTTATCAGAGGGAGGTATTTAGCCTACTTACTGTGGTAAAGTAGGTACTTAAATCCGACAGGTTTTTTCGTTATGATTTATAACTTTAGTCAAAGTTTCTTAAAGTGGTGAAACGACTATACTTTGTTAGAGATTACTTTAACTTATTTACATAAAAAAAATATCAATGTGTTTTACCATAATATAACCACTCTTAAGCAACTCAAAGTTTCTATAAATATAAAAATGATAAAACATGTAGAATTTCCAACAATTCAAAGATATATAATTATTATTTAAAAGAATTTTGTAAATCGTTTCATCGTGTTTCCCCACACTTAATGCAACTTCAAAAATAACTTCATGCGTGTAAACTTGTACTTTCTTTGAAAATGTTAAGTGTTAAATGACTCTCACTAACCATATGATTCATGGACTGTTGCTGCGGTACTGATTGAACCTTGAGGTCGTTGGTTGGTGGAGTTGAAGCTTGATTCGGAGGCCCTGTTGGTGCTATGCCCCTCAAAGTCTGAGCCTGATTTCCCGGCTGGTTGGGCTGTTGTTGTGGCACATATGGCTGCGTCGGTACATGAAAAGCATCAGTTCCTGAAATAATAAATGGCGATAGTAACAGGTTCAGGTTATCAACATATTGTCCTTGCATCTGACTTATTAATATACTTGTAATTGTCAGCAGAAACAGGTGACTAGTAATTATAATAAACAACTGCCGAGACGAAAACGAAGCAAGTTAAAAAATGAATTCGCGATAAATAACATACGTTCTTGCTTTATTTGTAACAAAGAACTTTGATCACCGTGAAGTTGTTCTAATTTTAAAATTCTTATTAGGTGGAAAATATACTTACGTTGTTGCTGTGAGATTGGTTGGTAACTGAATACATTGGTTAAGTACTAACGGTATTTACTACTGATGGAAAAAAAAATGTATGTGAGTTATCATATCCATATGGTGTCAAAAATTACAAAAAGTATGAAATTATTAGCTGTTAAAAATACAGTAAAGTTTGTAATTTTTACTTCCCGGTTATGGTTAAAAATAGTTTGCAAGCTTTTATCCAAATAGTTTCAATGAACAACAATGACATTATTTAGGAGTGTCCCAAATGAAGTGTCTGCGACAACGTTCTACGTCACAAGTGACGTAAATTTCTTTAATAGAAACTACTCCCGAGTTTAAAGTCCTTTTTTAATTGCTGCTCGTCGACTAGAACCGAGGTACACAAACTTTAACTTTGTGTGAACATTTAATATACGAACAAAAATCACCTTAAATCCTTAAATTAATAACTAATAAATCGTGATTATCCAGTTTTCCTACTCGACTAATCATGTAAAATCATTAATTATTCCAGCATTATATGCAAATTGTACTTCATTATCATTATCTTGCACCTGTATTCTCAGATCAGACATTTCTCTTTTAGTTTGCAATTTTGTGTGTACGTTCTCAAAAAGACAAACGATGTTTCTCGTTAGTTCAAAATTTACCAAAACTCCAACTTTTTTACCGTGCTGAATGTTTGCAGAAGTTTAAAGGACTATTAAAATACAAACAACACACCTCTACCGAAATGTTCTACAAACACAAATTATAATAATGATACACTTCCTTTTGCATTTTAATGATAATTAACAGATGTCCCATCGTTAGAAAACCACCGTCACCACTGAGAAAATTAATTAAACGCTATAAAAGCTAAATCCAAACACTGATTAACAGTACACAAAAAAGATAATAACTATTGTTATTAACTTCCACCTCGATTGAATCAAATAATTTCAATTGATCATGCACATCATTATTAACAAATGGTTGGTCCGTAATTCATGGTAAAGTAAAGTGAGGTGGAGTAAATCAATAGATCGTAATGCAGGATGTAGGCAAGCAGAATGCAAGAGTGCGGTGCAGGAAAAATGTAGGTCATTGAAATGTGGCGGGAGTTACTCCAAATCGCGGAAAAACAAAAATATACTTATACAAAACGCTATAAAATAAGTATATCTATTAATTTTCATATGCTCCAATAATCCTGGGAACCGACTCGACGAAAGAGCGTTCTTCATCACAATGTAATTGCTGGAAAAAGAAAGTGTCGTGAAATCGATACCATAAAGCTTACTCGGTTCTTAGAGAGCTAAAAGCCAAAGCAAATCAATCTGTCGAATGTGGCTTGACTCAATCAAAAAAGTTTTTCACTTTTTAAGTGGAGAGATTTCTACCATAAAGCCTGTGGTGTTTGCATGAAAATGGAGGCTTTTTGAAATTTGTTAATAATGCTGTTTGGTGTCCTTACAAAAACCTCAAGACGCTCGTTTAAAATGTAAATTATGTATTTGAATAAAATAATGGGCTGCTTTAACACTATGTTAAAACAGGCATTAATTAAAACTACCTTTACCTATTTTACAGTTTCAATGATTTGACGTGTATAAATGAATCTTTAAAAGTAGAAAATGATATTGTTTTGTAAGTACCTTTATTTTAAACAGGAAAGCTTAGTCTATCACTATATTATGAACAGTTTGGTTGCAAATAATAGCCGTAAAGGTAGTTTTACATTCAAGAATATTTTAACGATAATGACAAGACTTAAAACTTTACAACCGTTGAAGAGTTAATAATGAACTAAACCCATTTTAATGATGCAGCTAAGTCATACTCTTTGAGCGTGAGAAGTTTCTGTAAACTAAAACCCAAACACGGCAATATTTCCTTTAAATAGAAATCAATTAATGATTAATTATTTCAAAAATAATAACATTATGGTAGGTATTTAACTCAAAGGATCAACTGTGATGCAGAAATAATCCTAGCAGGTATTTACTGACCATCAGCAGATTCGTGGCACAAGCAAACATAATAGAAGAAAGTTGCTTACCCTAAACAGCCTTCTAAATCTGTCTACAGGATGTCGTGAACAGCAATGTTTCGAATTGCTTGGTACTATTTTCAGATACGTTAGACACAGTTACGATTGTGGATAAGCCCAGCATGATAAAAATTTTGTCTGAGAGACTTCAAGGTCGTGTCGTCAGTTGTCGGTAGACCATTTTGAGTTGTTGCTGTTTATTTATTAAAATTTGCAGTTTTCCTTCAATTTTTTCTATAATTTTTTACGTCCCTATTTACGATCTACTTTAAATAGACAGTACTGATTTTAACAACGCAATTTGAATTGTGTTAAATAAAAAAATATACTACGCGAAACGTGTTTTAAAATTTACAGCAAGGGAAGTTAATACTTCGAAATTATTTTTTAAATTAAGACACTCAAGTCTACAATAAAGAAGTTTTTAAATCGATAGGTGTTGTAAGCAACGCACATATACTGCATTATTAAATTAATTTAAAAAATCTCATTTACCGGCAATAAGCAAAAATATTATTTTTATGAAAATAAACAGTAACTACTGTAATAAAAATGATAAGACCAACAGAAAAACGTAATTTTAAAAAATTTCAAAATTTAGAAAAACCACACATGGCGATGAAATTTGTATATAAAAAAGGGGTGAAGCGGAATGTGCAAGAATTTACAAGAAAAAATGTGCTGCTTCAGAAAATGGGAACAATTTAATGACTGACAATAGTACCGAGAATTCTCTCATATGAAATGCGTTGTTAATGGCTAAATGCAAGTGTTCCATTGTAGAAAGAAACTTCAGTGTATAATCTTTAAGCGGAAGTACCTACACATCTGAAAACAATTTTAATTTGTGGTCCTAAATGCGTTCTATTGTTTTGTCTTCCAGAATTTTTTCAACATTCTACCGGAAATGCGTAACCTTTCGGCGCCATACAGTTGGGACACCTGTGTACCTTAAATTATCTTTAGCGTATAGCAGAGATTTATTTAAAAAAAACGAAGACAAGATTATTTTTATTCAACTTCATTTTTTAAACCTCTATTTCTTCAATTATTATCTGCCGAGATTTACATCGAACTTCCCTCACTCCAAAGACATAATCAATTCCGGATGGATCTGAGAGCATACTTCAAAATACGATATAAATCTTGATTTGTATGATATAACATTGAACATATAATTACTACTTTAGGTACATTTTTGTCGACTCCTGTCGGAGATACTGACATAATGAATTTACTCATACGGTGAAACAGTATTTTGGTTTTTGATATCATGTGAAATTTAGTTAACAATATGTGATGTTATAATTAATTAAATTAAAAAATTTGAAAAGCATCCACAAAATTTCGTTTGAAGAAAACGTGGTTTTCGCAAATAGTAACACGAAATTAAAGTTATTTAAAAATTTTCCCGTATATTCGAATTGACAATTAGCCAATAGCTCAAACAATATTAACTATTGACACTGCATACATTTCACATATAAGTAAATGAGTGGAAGTTCGTCATGCTCAAAATGGAATTTGGTAGTTTAATAACAGAAGCAGAAAAAACGACTTAAAAGTCTATTCCATATTTATTTATCAAAAATATACATGGAATAAACTTTAAGTGTATGCAGTGTCAATCCTTTGTTTGAACATATAATGATTAGTTCAAGTAGCAAAGAAGTTTTCAAAACGCGAGTAAAGTTGTAATGTAAAATACGCTGTTGGGTTGGTGAACGCAGCGAGCTGTATCATCTAGCTCCATGCACATAAATGCGCAGCTTGCGATTGCATCAAATATGCTGTCGTTCTAGCGAGCGCAGCGAGCTGTGTTAATTGAACACAAAACCTGTAAATTGCATTTTATACCACGCAGAACGAACTTATGCAAAATTGTAGAATACTGGTTGGTTAATCGGTATCATAGAATAATTAATTGACGAGTGCCTAGAAAACGCAACCATAAGTGGAAAAAACTACCGACTTAGATAACTGATAAGAGGACCGAAACGCTCTGCGAGTGATCGCCAGGTGACAAAATATGAACAGTTTGGATCCTAGAAAAATATTTTAACCAAAAACATTCTTTTGCATTTGTGACTATTTCTTATTCGTACAACAGCCACAGTTACGATTTGAAAGACAAAATTTTCGTAACCGTCTTTAAATAAAAACACAATGTTTTCTACGAAGGGTCTCACATCGACATTTTTTATAATCACGTGATTGACGTAAGCTACATAATTGTTACTTAAATTTTAATCAATCTGCTATAACGTAACAATAACTCTGGTTTCAACAAACTTGAGTTTAAATACCTAGTTTATGCAAGTGTTACTCCTATACCAGGAACACAAGTCGGAGGTGTTTGTAATTAACGAATTTCATTAAAGTGATAATTTACGAAGCTACGTCCTGTTATCTATCTATGATTTAAACTTAGAACACATTATTTTATTAATCTTATCTTTGGTAGTGCAGTATTCACTGGATTCATATCAGCATTTCTAATATTAATTACATACTTTAACTGAATTTTCCACACAAAAAAAAACTACCATACAGAAACAGTACCAGCACAACCCTCAAAATACTGTTATCGACATCTTGATCCTCATCAAATAAACTGATAAAACATAGAAATATTAAAAAATCTGTATATATAAAACATATTCTGAAACGTTATATACTACTTAGTCATAGGGTATTTTAACTTGCTGAGCGTAATCGAGTCCATTGAACGAATGTCCACTTTTATGTTTTCACGACGTTCCATGACCCTGGAGTACAGAAAAAAGCAGTCTCGCGTTTCCGTCCATCCGTAAGTCTATCTGGCGTCTGTCTGGATTTACATTAGACACGTAATCTCCGAAATTACTAGGCCAATTGTTATCAAATTTTGTATGTATATTAGGAATGTAGATGGTTAAACCCTAACCAAAATTTGGTTAATCATTCCCACCAACAATTTGATGGAATTTTCAAAGAATTCTATTTTAAAATGATTTAAATGTTATATAATAATATATTTCTATGTATGTGGTGTTCACAAAAAATTAACACAGTATAACATTTTACCACTAACTCAGGACATAACCGTCCGTGGCCATGCGGACCGATGGTCGCACGTTCGATCCCAAACTTGGCTGTTTTGTTTTTATTTTTTTCTCTGGTGCTGTGTATTATCTGTTTTTGATTTGATAACAAATTTTTTATTGATGACGGTAAGAATGAGTCACCCCATTTGAAAATTATTTTGAGGCGACAAACTCATTCAAATCAAACAGATTTCTACTTAACAATCCTTTGCAATTTGCGCCCCCACGGCGCAAGGGCTGCGGGGGTGTTATTTATCCCGCTGGTTTTTACTTTATAAGTTATCACAAAACAAACATCGCAAAATCTAATTTCATATTTTTTCAAAGAAGCGGAATTTGTTGGACTTGTACTTCAGGGGCGAGGGAAGTTTTGTCGAAATAAACTTCGAACAATTATTTTATATGAGAAGAGTATCTGACTCATTCAATTTCTTACAAACAATAATAAAAAACAAAACATTTCAACGAATGTGTCAATATAGATTTATCAAATTTTGATGAAATTCTGGGAATACAGCAACAGCTTCGTTAGTGTTATGTTGTAAAAAATATGAAAATCAATATACTTATTACTCTTAAAAAATTAATTAATTCATTGCTAGGAGTAAAATTCAGAACTATTTATCGAAAAAATCTACCTACACAGACGTTGCAAAAAATAATAATAGTTTTGGTGAATTATGAAGCCGCCTAGTTTTTCCAACCACCCCTTCCATTACAGTTTATTCTTGGTCTTGTAACAATAGAATAATAATAAAAAAAATTGTTTATATTTATAATACGGACAAATTTGTACTACCAATTCTCGAGTTATAGGAAAATTTTGAAATATTAACACTGTCTTTCGCAATAATCATTGAATAAGTTAATCATTTTCGTAAATTCATGCAATAGAAAAGACAACAGATATGCTGGCATTGAGTTTTAAAAATACTTTCGTCTACTCGAACACGAGTCCAGAGGGATCTTGGTCGGTTATAAAAAAGTTTTCAGCAACTGTAAATGATGAAAATTAAGAAAGGAAAGTATCGTAAGATGTGTTATAAACCGTAAGGACCTCGAGTTAAAGCAAATATTGCAAGTAATGCAAACATTTCTGTTGACATTGTGGCATGAAGAAAAAACAAATTTCAGTACTACGGAAATAGATTAATTATAAGCAACAGCCAACCATCCCAACAATTTAAAATTAATAATTCAAAATATTTGAAGCTCAGGCGTGACGGGATAAGAGCCGATAATGGGAGTGGGGCCGACGTTTATTAAAAATGAATAAATTTCACCCGACTAACGCAAATCAGAGAGCAAGTCGGAGTAAGTTGTAGAGGCGTTATTGATTTTGTCGAGACAGCAACCTCGGCATGTCTGACAATAAAACACGTGCGGCGTCGTCCATCGCCAATGACATTTCTGCGTACTCAAAAAACTTACGTTGTGGCGGCATCATCCTATAATGCGTGGGCGGCAGCAGGCATATGCCCTCTTTGACGGGACCATTGGTCACGTACCTCGACACCATCTTGTCGAAAAACCGAAAACAACAAAAAAAATCACACCCGCCGCATTCACGCGACGACAGCCCCAACTAGGAGAATCGGAAAGGAAAATCAAAAAGCGAGGCAAGTCACTCCCCACACGCGGCAGCAAGCCATCAAATCGCGATTCAAAACGGCAAACTTCTTCGACATGTCGAGTGACTCACCACCACAACCACTTTTGCAACCACCGACGACGACCTATTGTCGAGCGAAAATGCACTGTCATTGGTCCAGCCGAGGAGCATGGGGGCCACTTGTGAACACGAGCGGTGATTAAAGCGACGAAATGCGAAGAAATTGCAAGCAATGCTGGGACATGCGGAGCACGTCTGCCTGCACCAAACACCAAAAATCGATAAGGGCGTTTTACGGAACCCCACGGAACGCAATCACATGTTTTTCGATCGCGACGCGTCTTTCGTTGCACCGAAGCGGGGCGAAGGCGAGATATTTTAGTTTAGCGATTTACGAGCACGCTGTTTTTATTAGTGATTATTCTGATTGTCAGTCAAAAAATAATTTCGGCGACAACGCCATTGTATCGACTGTACGACTTGGTTCCTGGGTCCGCCGCCAGGAAGAACAATGGGAGCGCATGCGCAACCATAACCCTGGATTTGAACGTCAAAGCACGCGCGCGAGATTACGGATCGCAGTAGACTTGTGCTGCGGGTTGTCAAACTCATTTACACATACAGCCGTCCCAAAAGCATGGAACAAGGACACGACGTAGAAATTTTCATTTTACTAAATAACCGTTATTAAAATTTTTAATTATTCGTAAAACTTCGGAAGAATTTTTCCATTGGAGGTGACGTTACGCAATTATCGCTGTTATCGCCGCTAAATTATTTATTGCGACCGAGTTTATCGTCATCGTTGTTTTAAATATAATAATAAAGGCAATCGGGCATTTCGTATATGTACAGTTTCGGCCACAAAATCTTGGACAGTTCTGTCATCCAGTGACATCAGCTCTAAAACAGGCTTTATTTAAATTTATTTTTTAAAAGTGTTAATCATGATGACAATAAAGCATAGACTACATCGTGTTTTTTTTTAAATGACAGAAAAATACTGCCCAAGATTTTCTGGCCGAAACTGTAATGTAAGACTCGCCTTTAAAACCAGCATGGAATTACCAGAAAAATATTAACTTCTGTCAAATAATGTGCATTACCCGTGTATGTACGAACAAACATCCGGATAGGGCCAGGCTCAATATGAGTCACTGGAACTACAGTAGAGTCCGACAAATCGTGAACATAGATCTTGTGTTTCCAAGTATTTTTTGAAAGCCCTCAATAAATTGCCCAGGAGTATAAAAGCGATGATTTACAACGTTTGTCTGCTTTTAGGTTGCTTGCCGGAAAGGATCAAGGATTTTGCGATTCCGACGGACGTCTTTGACCAATAAATATTATAATGACAATAGTGAACCTAACGGTGTTTATGGAAAGATATATCTACAGAAAAATTCCAGGTACTATTTTTAAATACCTGAAACTACTCATTTTCAAGTCACTTTCCGGCAACAGCGTTTTCGGAATATTATTTCATTATTTATCTACGTACAAACAACAAACTGATGATGAAATTTTTAATAATACCTATCGAGTTATTCATTTTTCAATTTCCACTATTTTGAGAAAACTGCAGAAATAACCAAAATATCATAGTTGTATAAGCATTTATTTTTAAAACACAATGAATACTGCCAAATGTTCATTGTTTATGTAAGAATCCAATAGTTTAAATTGATATTTTATACAAAACATTAATAAAATAATCCTCCGAAAGACGTCTTCTCTGTCTGGCCTATTTTCACTCTACTCATCTTTATCTGGCTCCTGTGCAGATGTTCCAATGACGGCTCACACAAGGTCTGCCATTTTGAATTTCCGGAACTACAGACGGATTGGCCGTGAGTGTAAAACTGAATTTTCGGTACGGGAGCAATTTTTTTTATTTATTTCTGTCATCGTGAGGCTAACGAAAAATTGGTAAAAAGCATTTTTGTAGATATAGTAGAGTCTAGCAAATAGTGAACATTGACTGGAAACCCTCACAGAACTTTTGAGGCAGGCAAACGGCGACGTCAGGGTTGTAAATTATCATTACCATAATCTTAAACGGTTTATGAGTGACTTCCAATAAACAGAAAGTCAACTTTCACTACTCGGCGGACTCTATTCTAATATAATTATCTAAAAGTTTTATTATTAACTTTTCGGTATGGCTTCAAATATGAAAAAGTAATGAGCGGAAAAATTAAAAACTACGGGACGAAAAACTTTGAGGCCAGATCACTTTGGGATTTTTTATCTTACAAAAAATCGGATTTATTTTTGGATTCCACACTTATGCTGTAAGCAGGTTTGGAAGGGTGAAACGATAGTTAAGAAAAAAGGTAAAGGATTAAATTAATTAAAATTCAGTTAGGTAACGAGGAAAAGGAAAGATTTATGAGGAATGGAAATGAGACAAGAAGTAATACGGCTAATGGGTGAATAGTAAGTGAGTGGAGGGAACAAAGTACACACATCAAAAACAAGATATAAGAGACCTTTCTTTGTTTTTTTTTTCGGCGAAATTAGTTCAGTTATCATTGAGATTTTACCAAGGAGTTTAGAGTTGTTTGGCTTAATATTTTTTTTGGATTTGTACGTTTTTAAGAATTTTAAATTTCCAAATGTAGATGTGGATTCTACAGAATCAAATTATAATCGTTTATGAGGAAATGCTCAAAAACAAGCTAACAAGGAATTTATTAAAAAATTGAAAATGCAAGATTTATTTCATCCCATCTTTTTTCAACGTGTCCGCTCATAACTTTTTTATTAATAATGTTATGGAAATGATATTGATAAAAGTTGTAGATAATTGTTTTATCTACAAAAATCCTACCAATTTTAGCATTACAAGATTACACCATACTAATCCGTTTTTAAGATTTTTAAATCAACTAAACTTAGGTGAACAATGTTTCATAAATTGTCTGTTTCATTAACAACATTATGAAAAATCATTCACCTGAGTAGTTATTTAATAAACTTGTTAAGCGCAGTAGTGAGAATTTGAATGAAATGAGATACACAAATCAACAGTTTCGTATTTCTGTCCACAAAACGTGTCAATTTGGGTCATTGTATTCTTATTTGATAACATAACAAATGCAGTAAATATCGTAAAAGATATTTCTATGCATTCTAAAAAAAGTTTTACAGAAAATTATCAAAATCTATATATTTTTTATTTTGTTTTCATGTGAGTTACGATGATTTTTTTTTTCAATTTTTGCTATTTTCTAATCTTATGTATAAATTTCTTTACAATGACCAATTTTTATTCTATTTTAAAAATAATTAAAATTTCTCCGCTATTAGTGATTGAAGCAAATTTTTGAGTCGGCAATTCTGAATTATTGGCAACAATGTTAGCACATCCGTCCACAGTTGTCAATTTTGACATGAACGCGCCTAAAAACAAGATGTCAGCTACTGAATTGGCGCCAAAATTTAATTTTTTTATAATTTAAGCTTGTTTTCGAGCCGCATATTTAAAGAAATGGATATTCGCAAAATTATGTGTAACCCAATAACATATAAATTAACGGGACAGACAAGACGCTCACACTTAAGCCTTATTTATATGTATATAAGGCTTTAAACAGTATTTCTCTCAAACCGTTCAAACAATTGTATAAATAATTATTTAAAACGCAAACAGTTTTACGAACAAAGACAGAGAATACGGCGGAAGACCGAAGGTCACGGGCTGCGTGTGAGTGGGTGGTGGCTATACCATTTTCGGCACATACATCACTTTTTGTCCCGTCTCTCATAAAATTATGTCTTTATTCATGAAAAAACAATTATAATACACGCATTTTGATGCTCCGTTTATCGCTAAACCTCAAAGATTAAATGTGTACAATCATTTGTAATACAATTTAACCTTAATTCCAAATGAAAAACATCATGTTCGGTTGCAATATTAATTGCAACGATTAATTGAAAAACATGAATAATTATTATATGTCAACTATAATATATAATTAAGCTTTTTTTTAAGTTTAATTGCCACATTTCTCCAGAGATTTGTTCATGGAATTTATTTCTTAAAGGATTAGAAACTAAATTCAATCAAATAGGTAATTTAAAGTGCATTTCCTCATGACACTAGTTGCGCTTTTTTAAAAATATTTCATTGGTACATATTTCATGTACCGACCAAACTGGATAGAGGAGAATGGTTAGGCGAATTCAGAAAATTTCCATCGCATTCCGGTACAGGCGAAGATATTGACACTGTTAATATTTCTAGGTTTTGCCTCAACGAAAACGCACGCTACTTAGAAAGTGGTTTTTTAAAATGCCTGCAAGTTGTTTTTAAAAATTCAATAAAAGTTGATTACTTCCATCGATTTAACAAATGATTTCATTAATTAACAAGACTGTTTATTTTCTCAGAGGAAAAATTACAACATAGAAACGTTATTTTTGTATCTTTACTTCTGGAGAAAATCGCTTAAAAATCTGTTAAATTAATGAACTACTTAAAAAAAAAGTGGCTTTTAAATGGTCATTTTTTCACAAATTTTCTGAAAATTTATGGAATTTATTAAAATGGAATAACTACTCAAAGGAGTTTTGACTAATTTGAGACTATTCAACAACCATATTTTAAATTTTGTAGTTAAGTACGTTTTTGTAATTCACAAATTTAAATTAGTAGCTATTGCTTGACAATGCTTAATGGACCTTACCGAGTTTCGTAATCATCTAACATCAAAACATCAACTGTTGATATTTCACCACTTCATCGTTCAAGCAATTAAATATGGAAAGTGTTATAAAAATCACCTTTATAATGCTCTGTGCTTCTTGTTAACTACGTAGATTTCTTTTTATAAACTGACATTTCAATAATTCAAAACCTGATAATTAACTATACACAAACAAACCTTCCAGTTCGGAACTATTGTTCAAGTTTAAATGTGTAATAGTTGCTATCCTTAATTGAGTGCAATGTTCATCGTCATGGAAAGTGAATATTTTTGTCCTACAAATCTTGAAATTGCCAACAACTATGAAAATATGTACGTAGACGTTTGTTCAAAATAAATGTCTGGCTAAAACTAAAAAATGACAAGGACAAGAGTACAATATTTTTAACGCATTTTTAAGTGGCTATTTGTAAAATAAGCTTAAATTCCATTACAGTGATATTCCTTTGCCGAAAGTATTTTCCAAGGTTTTTGAGAGAAAATCTGTTCATGAAAAGGGTCTTGATTAGATTTTATATTTGCAATGGATTTAGAAACTTTTCTCTCTACTGCGGGTAGCGAAAACATTGTTTATTGTTATTAAACTTTTTTAAACCGTTACATAAAATGCAAGCTTAAGGTATGAGTTGAACGTATTTACAAAAGTAATCCGGTTGAGTAATAATTTGTTTAATAACACGCGTAGTGACATAAAATGGATGTAATAACTTCATTTAATCTGGACTAACCCAAATATACAAAAAATTGTATTTAATTTGTATTACTTGCATTA